TTGGAGAAAGGGCCCCCCCCCCCCCCCCCAAGATCCTGGAAAATTGCTGCTGTTTAGAGTAAGTGAAAAGTGGACAGGAGGGTCAGGCCAACAGTAATTTCATGTGAGCTTTTGAAAAATCTCCTCAAGATCCAGGAACGATACTTGATGCATTTGGAAAAATGGGAAATTGAGAGGAACCCCAAATGTTGGATTTGCAGAAATGAAAAACTAGCAAAACCAAAACTAACAGACTTGACCAGAAGAAGAAACCGAGAGAAACCGACATTAACAGAGTCCATCCCATCCCTGGTCCAAAGTCCATTTTAGTTCTGGCCTGACCTCTCATTTCCAGAGGCTCTGTTTCTCTCCGGCTCGCAGGGACTCGCCTTTACTGCAGGAAGTGGACTGCCGGTGCCACTGGATGGAACGTGGGGCAGGTTCAGAGCTGACGGAGGTCTGGTTTCCCCCACGTAGCTCCTGGTGCCTAACTCTGTCTGGCCGCTCTTCGAACTGCATCAGGTAGAACTGCGTGGCCAGGTGCTTGGCCATGACTTTGAGGGCAAAGGAAGCTGCCACGATCTCCGATGTGAGGAAGGAGAGGAGGACCCCGTGCACGGCCATTTCCAGAGGCACCTGGATCACGTGATTGTCCGTCAGGATGAACAGCAGGACAGGCATCTCGATTAGGAAGGACAGGAGGAGGAACCCAGCCAGCTCTGGTACCTGTGGGAGCCACGTGGGGAATGGTTCCATGCAGTGTTGACCTTTCGGGGACTGGCAGGGCCCCTAAATTCATCTCAAACTGAATCTCAGAAGCCTCTGGGCACCCTGCTGCACCCGTGCAGCCAACCTTGCCTTAAAACCAAATCTGCTCCTCTTAATGTCTTCTGTGACTCAATATTTCAGGTTAATTGAACGTGCTTTGAAAATTCACCAGATATTTGACACTTCTCAGGGGTATCCGCAGGGAGGGTCAAAGAAGGTAAGATGGCAGCCTTGCCTGTGCAATCAAAGCTCTGCCCCTTTATGACGTGCGCGGCTGCCCCAGGAGACATCCCTGCAGCCACTTCTACTTCATTCAAGGCTGGCTGCTTCAGGCACCCCAAACCATTTAATTTCAGTGGTCGATACTTGGCAACAATGCCTAACTGTATCCGCAAACTGGCTTAGAACAGCACCTTGCATTTTGGTGTTTGAGGCTTGGCAAGTCCTCACAGGTGAGCCAGAACGTCATAGTTAGGAGCCCCCACCGCTCTCCAGGGATTTGCGTTTTGAGATCAAAATGGACATTCGAATCGGAACTGCAGGTTTGCCCCCAAAACGTCCACCAGCAATATTAGAAATGTGGAATTTTGCATCTGTTTCAACATTTATAAGTGAGTGAAAATGCCAGCAGAGAAGTACCCACACTCCCTCCTCGCCTTTTACAAGCCTGCAGAAGAAGGAGAGCCATTTTGCTGCCGGGGTGGGTGGGGGGAGTCCACCCTTCGAGGAGGATGAGTGGAAATCTCTTCCTCCAGGCAATGAAGGCCTTGACCCCGTTTGCTGCCTTCAGACAATGCCGGGCATCCCTTCCCTTGCCTTTCATCTGCTCTGGAAATACTGACATGCCCTTTAATGGGGTGTCTACAGGGGTGGTCAAAAAAGTCAAGAGGGTGACCATGACAGTGCAGTCAAAGCTCCTCCTGCTTTTTATGTGTGTCTCGTGCGATGCACATAAAAATCAGCTTTGATCACACACCATCACAGCTGCCATCTTGACTTTTGTGACCACCCCTGCAGATACCCTACATCCAGAGAGCATCCAGATGCACCTCTGGAGAAGTTCCTTTTGGCTTTAAATGGCGAGATATTTCAGTTTGGGTAACAGAAATATTCTAGAAAGAGGCCCCCATATCTTGTCAAGCCTCAGCTTCATCCCAGGTAAGCCTCTTCCCACCCACCCCCAAGTTTCAATTTTTTGAGGGTAATTTAAGAGGATGGTTAATCGCTCTTGAAGGGTTCTCTAGAAGTCCAGATCTCATTCTGTAGATCTGAAGAAAATGGACTGGGTCCCTCAGAAGAGAGTCAAAAAGGCCAAGATGGCGGCCCCACTCCTTCTTATGAGCCGTAGAGGTTGGGGCCCCGATGGCGTGGTTGTGGCCACCATCTTGACTTTTTGCCTCCCCCACCCCCAGGATCCATGAAAGCGTATGAGAACATGCAGGAGTCTCTAAGGTGCCATGAGAACCTTCTTTAAGAAACGAAAGATAAGGATGGCAGCTGGCTCTCCTGCCGTTTCTTACCTTTTCTTGCAAATTCCCAGCGTATCCGAGGTAGAGGCGCACGGATTCAGCCCCGACAAGGGCCAGGTATGCAGCAACCAGCAGGAACTGATAGTAAGTGGGCAGCAGGCTAAACTGTAGAGGCGTAAAAAGAGATGGGGGGGGGATCTTCCAAGGGCCCCTCCTGCTAAGCTGCTCCTATCCCTTTCCACTAGCTTGAGATGTCACCGGGTAAGGGTCCTCACCTGCCAAGAAAAGGGGAGTAGGCCCACACACCTGGTACACTGCAGGTCCAATGCCTGCATCTCGAAGGGAGGCTGGGAAAGACTCATCTCCAGAGCTGCAGCATCCTCTGGCTGCAATTCAACAGCAATCCAGGCTAGGCTCACTGGCTGCATTCACACAACACACTTGACTCGGCCTGGTGCTACTTCCCCCCTTTCTAGTACTGCAATGATGAATGCTGCCCTTATTGTATCAGGAGCAGCCATCCTTGGCTGACTAGCCACCTCTTAAAATATGTTCTCTTTACATTTTTAAGAAAGTAAAATAAAATAGAGTATGAAGCCGCCAGAGATGGGTTGTAGGGAGTTCTGGTCTCCTCTAGACCCAATTTGAGCCCTAAATTAACCCTTTCTTCCAGGACACAGGGGTGTTTGAAGGTAAGATGGCGCCCTTCTGTCTCATGATGGCTTTTCATGTTCCTATGAGTCAATGACCCTTCTCTTGACCCAGCTAAAAGTGTAGTGAGAACCCAACGCTTTTGAGGGCCCCAAAGCTCTCAGCATAACGGCTTGGTGGCTGATGAGATTTGGTTTTCCTGAAGTCCTCAGGAAGACGGATTCCAAGAGGAACAGCCCCTGGTTGCTTCGCAATACCTTCTAAATCTCTTGCAGATTATAGTATCGGGGACTATGTCTGTGCAATGCATTTAAATTAACCCACCTTCTGGCTTCTCCTAATATACTAATCTACAAGAAACCAAGATTAAGGTAAGCAGCAAATACAGCTGCCTAGTCTTGATCTGACATGGTCAATGTCTGGTCAGAAAGCAGCCATAGAACTGGGGGCTCTCTACTCTAGCCCCTGCTTGGTGCAAGATCTGCTGTGCAGAAGCCTGGAACAGCAGCATCCCAGAGAGAAGGTTGTCCAGCTGTGCCCGCCACCTTCCCCGGAGGTGAAGTCCCTGCCTCCTTTCCTTGGTGGCCAAGGGGTGTTTCCCTTGATGGTCAGCTCTGCTCCTTCCATCCCTTGTTCTAGGTTTGCCCTCTGAGCAACAAAAAGTGTGTTGCTGTGCAGACTTCATAACAGTCTGTGTACTCAGGGAAGGGACCCTGGGTCCTCCAGACGTTCCTGAAGCTCAATTTCCCATCTCGCTGCTCTCGGCCATGCCAGCTGGGGCAAAGGGTTCTAGTTCAGCGACGTGTGATATGAGCCCCCCGCTCACTGGACCATGCGTTGCAGCTAAAAGGAACGTTGCACAGGTTTTTGAGGAGACTCTGCCCCGGTGCAGCTCCACCTCCAGGAGCCCTCCAGCTACGAGCCCTGTTTCTGGACTCTGGTCATAGAGCGGGCTGAAAAGCGTCCTTTCCACCATCCCAGGCAGGGGGAGGACCCTAAACAGCCCTCCCAGGGGCACTTTACCTTCAGCTCCAGCATAATCACCTCCGACAGACACCAGAAGGGGAAGTAGAAGGCGTTGAAATAGAGCAGCATCTGTAGGGACAGGCTGGAGAGCATCAGGTGGTGGCCTTCACGGGACAGAAAAACCACTCATCAGTGAGAAAGCGTGTTCCTGGGTGGCCTCTGATTTTGCGGCAGACCTCTAAATCCTAGGATCCTGGAGTGGAAGAAGCCTTTTGCTCTCCAGCCTAACCCCTTGTTCAGCGCAGGAATCTGAATCCAAGCCCCTCAGAGAAGCCTCTGCTTGGACATATCCAAGGAAGGAGAGCCTCTTTGGGTCCTTGATCCCACACTCAACCTGCTTTTACCCTTAGCCAGGTTTTCCTGACATTCTGCCATCTCGTGTCACAGTATAATCTCAAGTTCTATCAAATGAATAGGCAGGGTTTTTGAGCACGGTGGGATTTACACAAGATGCACATCCCACAGTTTGGGTTTCTGTCTTAGGACCCACATTTGCAACCAATTCCAAGCTAAAAGAGCAGAGACAGTCCCTTCACATCCCTTTGATCCGGTTTCGCCACTTGGGCCCCAGTGGGCCTTGGTGACCAGGAGCTGTACCAAGTTTTGACTGGCAAATGAGGGTAGCCCCAAGTCATCAAATGGTGGCTGGTGAGAACAGCTGGAATTTGAAGTGCAAAATCATCAGTGATGCAGTGATACTTTTTCTGTGGATCCTAGCTGGAAACATGAGTGCCAGAAAAGGACATCCTGCCCTCTCCCACTGACTGGGAATAGAGCTTAGAAATGGCTGTTCCAGGATGTCAAAGCATTAAAAAAGATGCCAAGATGTTGGCATGATTCAGTTTGGTTGATGCAAATGCCAACAGTTTTCTAAAGAGTGGCATTATGTAACAGGACTTTGAAGGACCTAAATAAATAACCTGAACCAAAACCTCCGAACTACCAAGGCCCTGACCTCAAGTAAGCCTGCGTAGGCATTTGCAGAGGCTGCCTCATGATTATCTTAAAATCACCACTTGTGTTTTTAAATGGGAACTAGGAAGTAACTAACCACAAAAGCTGACTAGTGCCAACCTCCACTTTATTATTCTGCTTATCTCAGTATAAGCAGAAAATCTAACCCATGTTATGATCGATGTTTGACATCATTACCGGGCAGCATTTATTATATGACTATATAAAGCTTGTTTGTACCCCCCTTCAGTGGCAGAACCTTGTGGTCTGTCCCCAGCCGGTTCAAATAAACCTGGCTCAAGCAGACTGTGTGGTCTCCGCTCGTCAGTTGGGTCACGGGGGATTGTTCTCCTTCGCTTTGTGCAAATGTCACTGCTTCAGTCTTGTCGTGGCTGACAACGAAGCCACACTCTCTGCAAAAAGGACCGAGGGCGCTTTCTCAGATCCACGCGGGGTGTGGCGAGGGGAGTTGCATCCTCTGCGTATAGCCAAACTGCAAGATGTCCATCAGCCAACAGAAGGGGACGAAACCCAGATCTTGGCAGGGCTTGCGCGAAAGAGTGAATGCAACATTGGGGAGGAGGGATGCCAGAATGCAGCTCCACACCCCGCCCCCCATGGGCACGGGAGGAAACTAGCACCACATCAAACCTACGTTGTGATTAAAGGAAGAAGATGTTGGTCACTGGAGGAGGCAGTCCATTTTTCCCACTTGGGAACTGGGTGTCCGGAGGGAGTAAGAAAAGTCAAATGGTGGCACAATCATGCAGTTGAAGCTCTGCCCCTTGTTAATGTGCATTGCAAGTAAAAAGGGGACGGGACTTTTATCACATGGTTGTGGTCACCGCCTTGGCTTTTTCGACCCCCTCTCCACAGACACCCCTGCTGGGAATCAAATCAAACGTTGCCTTCAGGTCTGTGAAGACCATGAAGGACTTTCCCAGGGAACGAGTGCTACGTTTTTCAGTGAGCTGCTGAAGGACAAGGCAATGCTCAGAAGCTGACTTGCTTTCCCTAATGCAAATCTGTTCTTCTGCCAGTCTCATCCCATTGCTTTTAGTCCACTGGTTCGCAAGAGCAGCATCTGGATAAGCTGCCGACCACTCTCCTTCTGCCTCTTGGTTGTCCCTTCATCCCTTTCCCAGCCTGCCCACAGTCTCTCGCAGCAGGGACACCTCTCTTCTCATTCTCAGCTGGGGAGCCCTTGAGACCCTGAGCCTCTGAACCAGCACAGGACCCTCCAGCCTTTCTGGTGTCGCTGCCTTCAGCACCAGGCAGAGAGGCAAGACCAGGACCTAGGAGTGCTTCAGGCAGCAGATGTCCCTCCTTGCAATGTGGATGGGGTGTGAGTCCCTCCTGCGCTGTTTGGCAGCCCAGCCCCCCCACCGGTACCTGGCTGGTAGATCTCAGCCATGCTGCCGTCCTAGCCCTGGATGTTGCTGGAGAGAGAGTCACCCAAAGTCACCAAACCTTTTGGAGATCGAGAGGGAAGTTGCAGCCCCCATGATGCAGGGTCATACTCTGTCACCCCCCTGTCCTGTCACGCTCCCCCACCCCCGGCTGGAACACATAAGAGTGGGAATGGCTGTGCTTAATCGCATTATCAGGCCAGGCTGTCCAACTGTCATTCGAGCCATGGGCTGTTGGTTAATCTGGTGGTGCTCAAAATAGGACAGAGGAAGAAGGAGAACATTTCAATGCTGCTTTTCTGGCCTTAGCAAGTCTGACATTGCCAACTTACAAACAGCCTCTTGACCTGCTCCCTTTTTAGCCCCTCATGTGGAGCACTGAAAAGTGGTCTCAGCTGACCATCAGGCGATGCAAAGCTTTCCACAGCGGATTTCAAGGGGCTACAAAACATGGAAGAGTGG